ATACTGCGCACACCGAGATGCAATGGTGAGTCAAAGAACCCAAACCGCCTCCATGTTTCTTTTGGTTCACTTACCTGTACTTCCTTTAACTCATCATCAATTTTATTTTTCCTTTCTTCAATTTTAACAACTTCTTCTGCTATCTTGTGCTTTAGTCTTTCCAGTTCTGTCTTTTGTTCACTAGCATCCTATAGGAATATTTAAATAGTGTTGTAATCAACTTTAATATGCTAAACATTTAAAAGCATTACACTAAACACAGAACCTATTTCAAAATTACATTTAATCTCTTCCTGATTATCAAACCAATTATATTGCATTCAAAAAGTCAGAAATACATATTTTTAAATGACAGTAATAATACACATTTGACATTTATAACAACCCAGGGAAGTCATTGTTAATATTATATCGATCTTATTAATAAAGGAACTAAAAGTGTGTATCCTATAACTTAAATAATATAAATGGCACTGATATATTTTTAGATTTTAAATAGTGAATTACATGATTGTGTGTCTATATTATCAATTACCATACAAAATATTAATTGACATCTATGGCACATTAATAATATAATTGAAAATATTTGGGGGAAAATGAGTAAAGATTCAAAGAACACTAAGTTGTGTATTAGCATCATATGATCTCTGTTCAAGAATATACAACTCAAAAATTGAGTGCAACATGTATAAAAATGCTGGCATATTAGTAAAGTTTGTAGCTGGCTTATTTATTCTAATTTACAATAAAAAGATAAAATTTCTTAAGAAAATTTTTAGGATCCTTTACAACAGTGGCTATCAATATTAACTACATATAGCAATCATTCAGGAATCAAATGCTGATGCCTGGAGTTCTTCTACTAGAAATATGATGTACTCAATCTGAATAAAACCAGGATGTAAATGTTTTCAAGCACTGCTCTGGAACCAACACTGGGAATCACAAAATCAACCAGCTTTTCCTTAGACACCATTTCACATCCAGGTACCTTACACATGCAGCTCACTTGGAATATTCTGCATTCTAAAGCATTGCTGTCTTTGTATCTCTGCTATTATCTCTCAACAGGATAGCTAGTCTATCTCCACACAGCAAAACCTTCCAGTAAGGTCCAGCCCGTATGCTCCTTCCTTTATGAGCCTGCCCTGTCCATTGAAAGCTATTTCTAATGTTGAGTTCTTATATTACTTCATTTATAATTTTCTGATGCTTAATAAACAAAGCACCAAGCTTTAGAATAAAGGCAGTTTTGTATTTTTTCTACCAAATAGAAATGTCTGCTTTTTAATAATTTATTAGAATTGTTAGTATCAGATAAAACAATTCTTCTTCTTTTGGACCTCTGCAAGGAGATATAATTAGCTACACAGTTAGAAACGCCTCTTTTCATAATAGTCCAGAAAAATAGGCAGTAGAGTACATATACTTTATCAGGGTATAAGGTTGATGTACACTAGCCTGCTGCACAAGACTTTAGAATACTGAAAAGCAAGGATGTTACTTTGAGGAGTAAGGTAAGCCTGACCAATTTTCAAGTGCCTCAAACACATGTAAAAGTTGGGCACCAAATAAGGAATACAGAAAAACAATCGATGCCCTTGAATCGCGGTGCTGGCACAGAATGGTGAAAGTAACATGGAGTGCCAGAAGGACAAATCTTTCTTGGAAGAAGCACAGCCCACTTGCTCTTTGGAGACAAGACGGGGAGACAGTGTCACACATTCTTCGGACATGCTGTCAAGTGACACCAGTCCCCGGAGAAGGACTTCAAAGTCTGTAAAGTGGTGGGGCAGCGAACAGAGGAAGGCCCTCGGTGAGATGAATCTGCACAGCGGCTGCAACAACGGGCTCCCGCGTCAGAACAACTGTGAGCAGGGCCCCAGACCAGAAAGGGGAGGGTTTCCTTCTGCTGTCCAGAGGGTTGTTAGGGAAGTGACTTGATGGTATCTAATCACAACAGCCTGCAGTCGACAGGCACACAGAGAGATCAATATTTCCCTTTTACACACATACAACCATTAACATTGTTATCCTTAATATAGCTTTCTACCTTTTTCACATTCCAAGTTGTTTTTGAAGATAAACATTTTTGACAAACTTTTTAAACAATAATAACAATTGGTTACAATTTGACTTCAGGGAAAAAAGCATGCTAAAGTTAAAAGGCATAAAAATTATATTTGCATTTCTGATGTTTTATTTGCCACAGTTTCCCATACAACAGATAAAAAAACAGACCTAAATCAAAATGGTGACTGTTTTTTGCTATCAAATCCATTTTAACTTATAGTAACTCTAAATGGTAGAGCTGAACTGCCCTGGAAGTGGTTCTAGGCTAAGTTCGTTACAAAAGCAGATCATTATGTCTCCCCTCCCAATCTTTCAGTTAACAGTCAAGTGCTTAACCATTGCGCTATCAGGGCTCCTTTTAAACTAAGACAGAGCATCATAATTTTCACAGCATTGAAAACACATATCTAAAAAATTTTAAGAGACAAAAAAAGGAAAACAAAAAAGTCACACACACACAAACAAGTTTCTTAAACATGATCAGGAATTTAAATGACTTTGATTTTCTTAAGGACAACAATGGAAGCTAGAAGAAAATAGAACAATGCTTTCAAGGTCTTGAAGAAAATGTATTCCAACCTAGACCATTAGTTCCACTGGCCAAACAATCAGGAGACAGGACAAATGTTCACACATGTCAGTCTCAACATTTATCTCTCCTGCATCCTTTCTCAGAGAGCTTTTCAGGATGGGTTCTACTGAAACAAGGGTATAAATTAAGAAAGAAGAAAATATGACAGTTAAATTCAGAAAACCCAACAAAGAGGTGAGATATATGGAATGCTTTGGATGATAAAAAGAGAAACCTCAGAAAGACATCTGTGAATCAGACAAAGACGTCGAATAGCAATACTCTGTGAAGTCTTGATAAAATATCCAGAAAAATAAAACAAAATACACACAAAAACTAGTAAAAATAATTTACTACATGGCTCACCTACATACTCATTAGTGAGCATATGGAAAGGGTATGTCTGCACTGTGGGGCAGAGGGAGCATAGAATAAAGGCTAAGGCTTCATCTTTCATATACAGAGTGTGTTAATCTGGGCATTTTAGAGAAACAAATCCACAGAAACGCATGAATAGAAGAGTTTTATATAAAGGGTAAGTGCACATCAAGAAAACATCCCAACCCAGGGCTGCCCAAGTCCACAAGTCCAACATTAACCCATATGTCCGACATCAAACCACAAAGTCCTCCTCCATCTCACAAAACACATGCAATGATGCCCACTGCAGGAGGAAAGCCGCATCAGTGAATTTGTAAGCATCTCAGTGCTGGCAGGGGTCTCCACACGGTTGCTCCAGCACCCAAGGCTGCATCAGGGTAGGTCCATGCGGCTTCTCCTTGGGGATGTCTTGCAGAAAGTGAGCCTTGCCAGCTGAAGTAGGGAACTGCACCGTGGTCAACTGCACTGTGGTCCGACCACCAGAAAGCAAGAGTCCCGAGAACTAGAAAGGAGGATCACGGAGCCATTTGTCCCTCCGCCCTTCAATTAACCCCACATGTGTTTATTGGCCAGGTTGGCACAATAAACTAACTACTTCACAGAGAAATAAAAAGATATGTCAAAAGTGAAACGTCAACTAGAAATAAAATCATATTTAAAAATAGGGAGTAAAATACCAAAAAGATCAGCTAAAAAGAGATGAGAATGGAAGGATGGGAGGATGGAAGGAGAGGGCTGCTTTTCTGTAACACATTATATGAACCATGTGGCTCATAGAACGACTCATATGATGACAGAGATCAATGTACTTTGGAAAATGGGAAGTACTTAAACGCAAGGTAATTGAGCAGAAAAACGAAAGTCTAATTTCTTAAAAGAGGGGAGGTCACAAAGACCCAGACAATTGCCATACTGAAAGTCTAGTAAGGCTCTGAAATTTGAAATACCAGGTACCTATATTGATGAGGACGAAAAACCTACCATATATACTTGTGGATAAACTGACTTTTTCAGCACATTTTTAATGCAGCTTTTGTGGTAAAATTAGGTACCTCTGCTGATATTCGGGTCTGCTTATAATCAAGTATATCCGGTAATTGACTTTTTTAAACACTATATTGATAAGGAAGAAAAATAAGGATAAAACACAGGGACAGGATGGAAGCATGCACCAAGATGAGTGCCCATAAAGTCATATCGTTCCTCTTCTCACCAGCAGGAACCAGGGGCAGAGGCTATTATTGGAAGAAATTAAACAATCTCTGGATTTGAGATTACCACACCTAGACTAGAATGAGGCCTCATCCTAAAATCAAATTTTTTAAATCTACCTATTAAACACGGAGATTCCCTCCTTTGCCCTCTTTTCACCTTACACAGCTCACAGAATACACGTAAGTGACTTTTTTTAACTACTCCATTTTTTTAACTACTCAGCTGAGCCTTCTAAGGTAGAAAACTGGAGAGTTTCCTGTAAAGACTCATCTGTCAACCAAAAAGGGCATAAAAAGACATATTTTGTGGCACCCTACCACATGACCAGATGACCAGATCAGCAGGGGAAAAAATGGTACAAAAAAATCTTACAATTTCCTATTAAGTTTTTCTAATCAGATTCATTGAAATTCATTAGAATTCATTGAAACTGAAAAACAACAGCATTGTGTTTTAAATTTACAGATTCAGGAAGTTTATTTTAAATGCATTTTACTGTGAAATTGTTACCCTAATTAAAATATAGAGCATTTCCATCCCCTTAGAATGTTCTCTCCTGAACTTTTTCAGTCAATAACTTAATATCCACCCCATGCCCAGCACACCATTCATCTTATTTCTGTTTCTACCACTTAAACATTTCTATAATTTTATCTAAAGGTATGTCATACAGTATGTAGACATTTGTGTTTGGCTCTTTTCACTTAATATAATACCTCTGAGGTTCATCACACATTGGTGGCTTCATTTTTTCTTAACTAGACACTTAAAAGTGCAATTGCTGGGTCATATGTTAAACACATATCTTACCTTATAAAAAACTACCAAACTGTTTTAGAAAGTTGAGGCAGAATTTTGCATTTCTTACATAATGTATACAGTTTTCAGATGGTCGACACCCTTGCGAACATCTGACTTGGTATTTTCTCTTAATTTTACTCATTCAAGTGCATATATATGGAGAAGTATCTTACTGAGACTTTATGTGACATTTCCGTGAGGACTAATGATGTTGAAGCATCATTCCATGTCTTTACAGGCCCTTCCCTTCATAAACCTTCTTTAGTGAAGGGTCTGTTCAAATCCTTATATTATTATAGGTTTCCCTTGCAATAAAAAGCAAGGTAGAGAACAAAATCATATTGAGAGATCATGAGGGCATAAAAGAGAACTTGTACACTGAGCAAGCTCAAAGAAATTTCCTTTAAAAGAGCTCAACAAAAGAAAGGTAATTTCAAAAAGAATATATAACCAAAAGATAACATATCATGAAAGTCTAAAACTGAATGAATGCAGGCATTTTGTAGATCTAGGGACTATTAAAAGTCAGAAAACTTTAAGCCTAAGGGCGAAATTTTTAGTGCTATGCCAACTTAACTGGGAGAAAATATAGAAATCAGATACATAGACATTTGAACTATAACGAGTTTTTCTAATTAGCATATGGTGAATTCAGGATATTGTGGGAAAATACTAAACTTTTCCATAAAGCTCAAGTACACATCAGTCTGATCCAGTGCAAATAAACAAGATTTTTCAAATCCACTTAAGTAAAAATGTCACTTTTCCCACTGACTAACAATCAAACATAAAAGGTCTTCCTATTGTTCGCATATTTGTATTTCCTCTAAGCATTACCTGCATTGATACTGTGATCTCTTGAAGGGCAGCATCCGCTTCATCTTGCTTAGTTTTAAGTAACACACTTTGTTCTCCAGCTTTTCGGTTCAGTTCATCCACAAGAGCTTTAGCTTCATTTAATTTAGATACACCGGCCTATGTCAATAAAATTTTCATTGGCAATATGCTTTTCAATTTTTACAAAATTATCAAGTAAAAGTATACATGTATGTGTGCAAAACACTGCATGTGAATTTAGGTTTTCATTGCTAGTTATACTGATCTATTGATCTGTGTACCTATTAAAATATGGTAAAAGAGTACACAGAGATTTTAAAGAAAAACAAATTCTAAAGCACCACAGTTAAGTTGGACAGATCAACATCTTTTGAGAGTCTTAACACAGGGGCCAAAGAAAGTATATGTGATAGCCCAAACATGTTAGGCAGAACAAAAAATACAAAGTCAAGAAAAAGTCAGCAATCCTTCCCATTTATTTCAGTATCAGTGATTGGCAAATGGGATGGCAGGGCCATTCTTTTTTCTGAAGGACTTGATTTAGTTTTGTATATCCAGCATCCACCTTTCTTTTAAGAAATCACCATCTATATAGCCCGAAGGACTATCATTCCAAATGCCCCATCTGCTAGTTGAATAGGCATTTGCCACTGGCCTGACCATTATAGTACCCAATCCCACTGACAGACAGCCATGAAGACATCCAAGGAACGGGCATGAAAACACTGTCTTTCTTCTGTAACATGAGCTGGATTTGTGTCAAATGAGGACCAGAATATTTGAGAAGACAGTCATAGCAAAAATGGAAAGTAACCAATATCTAATAAGCTCTCACACAGAATATACCATCATCTTCTTTACTTATATATTAGCATGCAATTACCACGGCCCCAGAATATCACTGAGAACTACATGAACAAATTAATCCCCTCAATAGTATGTCGTTAGTGGCTACATGTAAGTAAAGATTAAGGGAAAAAAATAAAGAAGTTGTGTCAATAATTATGGATCTTAAGAGAGAGAGAAAGAGAGAAGTTTGGAATGCAAATGCTCTCTGACAAAGTCTGAGGCTAGCATTCCAACGCCACAGTTCAGTTTAAGCTCTGTACGAAGAGAAATCCCCAAACAACACTCTTCAGCATGTACTAAAGGGAGCGACATAGATAAGATCGTTGTAATCCCCACTGGAACCCAGGGAATGGGTTCCAACTCCGAGTAGCCCCACAGGGCACATTAGAACAGTTCCTGTTGCCAAGACTCTAAGTGTCTGTGGGAGCAGAAAGGCTCGTCAGTCACCTCTGGAACAGCAGTGGGTTTGAACTGCTGACCCTGTAGTTAGCAGCCCAATGTGTAACCCATTAGGCTACCAGGGCTCCTTACTATATAAAATGTAATTTCAATTTTAGACCTATTGCAAAATATAGTCTTGCATAGCATTTTTAATTAGGAATAATTGCTAGATGTTTATGAATTTCTAAAATTGTATTTCTAAAAGTGAAACAGACTGTAATGGCAGCATCATAAATACCACTCACGAAAGAAAAGAAATATCAAAGAACAAAGAAAACAATTTACTATAATCTAGTGGAAAGAAGAAAATATGACAGTAAACTTTCTTCCAAAACATTTAACACCAAAATGTTTCTTCCAAAATATTTAACACCATTAATACATGCCACAAACAAGTCATTAAAATTAGTATGATCCTTTCTTCCTATATGTAGACAAAAAATAAAGGCCAATATTGTACCTGCAAATGACTTTGTCTTTTTAATAATTCCTTTTTCTTGCTGCTACTAATGGCAGAATACACGTGTAAAAACGTCATATATCGGCTTGGAGTAGCACCATATGCTTTACAAGACTCGTGTATTAGTAAAAACGATTTTAAAAATTCAGGGTCCACTAAAAAGAGAAAAAATGACTTAATATGTACATGACACATTAAGAATTAGAGAAAATAATTTTAACTTTAATTTCATTCAAGATACTCCATTCTAAGTATAAATACACAATATGTGCTTAAAAATACACAGACATTCCTAGATAACTATTTATAACTCCCATTTTCATTATGAAATTCGTATTCTTTCATTTCAGGGATCTCATCTTTTCACTGTTATATATTCCTCCTGAACATGTTCATTACTTCAGGAAAGATAAATCTACTGGTCTTCATAAATTAATTAGCAACACAAAGCACACATAATGCAAAAGAATGCTCACTAAAAGCTATGTGAATGGAAAAATGATATCAAAGCAAAGAATGCTTATCCTCCCCTTCCATCTGACAAATGGAGAAACAGAACTTCAGAAGTCAAGAAATTAAGAATAACTTCACAACAGATTCAATATATCCATGAAAATGTGTTTCTGTAAGTTTTCCAAGTCAGACATAAGAAACATCATTGACGATTCCTCTTCTGTCACACCCACTACATGTTCACAGGCCTTTCCATTACCTTCTAACATCCCAAATCCCATTCCTTCCTCTCCTTCTTCTTACCATTCTTAATGCCTCTTACGTGGTTGAAGGCTTCATTGTGCCTTTCTTAGATTACAGCAATCAACTTCTAAAGTGGTCTAATTGCCTTTGGTTTCTCCCTATAAAATTCTATTTTATATTAATTTTGGGGGGTGGATGGATCAGAACTTTCTTTTTCTAAAAGAAATCTTTCATTAATTTCCTATTTAAAATCTCTCAATAAAGCCAAATTACCCACGATAGATTCGAATTCCTTAGTGTTACATGGAAGAATCTTCAATATCTAATCCTGTCTTTTACTCTTAAGTCCTTTTGTCTACTAGTTTATATATCCTATGTGCCAGGCTTTTATGATTCCATGAAAATGTCTATTTCACTTCACCAAACCCTCCAACGTGAATCCTTCTGGCCAGAATGCCTTCCCCATGCTATCTCTACATCGAGGCAATATTCATTGCCTCTAAGACCTCCCATTCAGAAATGTTCTTCCCAAACCCAAACCAAAATCAAACACACACTGCCACTGAGTCAATGCTCAAAATGATATCAAACCAAAGAATACCGATCCCCTTCCATCTGACAAAGGGAGAAACAGAACTTCAGAAGGCATAACGAAAATGAAACCCCTTGGCTATAAGCCAGAGATTTAAGCAATATAAGCAGATCTGTCATATAACTCAGGTAAGAAAAAAAAATGTTATTACTAAAATTCAAATGATATTTGTTAGATCCATATTAAATGATATAAACATTATTTTTAAAAATTTTTAAATGGCTTTAAAAATTTTTCATCAGGAGAGATCTAAAGTGATTACATTTACCATACTCTAAATTAATGATAATATTAGAAAAAAATGCTGTTATTTCACAAATAAAAATAAAATAACCCCTTGAATATACTACCTGAACTTTTTTTCCTTTCTTCTTTCCTTCGTTTTTCACTAACATTTTCTTCCTCAGATTTACTGAGTAACATTTCTGGAATCTAAAACATGAAGAGCATTACTTGAAATCACATATCAATACAAAAAAGTTTAAGTAAAGCCAGTATCAGAGGTAAAAATAAAAGCTTTATAGTGAAAGAAATTATATCATCAACTGAACTTTTTCTTCTAGAACCCTTTGTAGAACAACAGAACAAATACATATGTAAATCGTAACAAGATGTTTGCTAGACAATACTATGACACATCATGCATTATTTGACAGCAAATTAACGATACCTAAGGAAAAGCCCCAAAGTGTCCCTTAAAAGGTGATTAAAACTCTGTGGCCCTCCAGCCCACAGCCACCAAGAACTGCCCCATAGTTTTTCCAGTCTGTAAATGAGTGCTGCTGGCTCCAAGTCATGGAGACCCTATTACGTACCACAGACTGAAACACTGCCCGACCCTTTGCTAACCTCACAACTGCTATTAGTTTTCAGCCCATTGTAGCAGCTACCATCTCACTGAAGATGTTCCCATTTTTGTCGGCTTACCCTCTACTTGCCCAAGCATGAGTGTCCTTCTCCAGGAATTGATCCTTTCTGATATTACATGAAAAGTAGGAGACACAAATTCTCCATTGTTGCCACTAAGAAAGAATGCCATTCTTTCTCCAAGTAAGATTTGCTTACTCTTCTAGCAAAGAAACCAAACCCAAACCACTGCCACTGTGGCAATTCTAATTCATAGCCACCTTCTGTAAGGTTTCCCAGGCGGTAAATCTTTCTGGAAACAGATTGCCTCATGTTTTTCTCACAAAGTTGCTGGTGGATTTGAACTGCTGACCTTGTGCTTGGCAGTCCAATGTGTACCTAACAGCACCACTATGGCATCACATTCTTCTGGCAGTTCCTGGCATATTCAATGTTCTTCATCAACGCCATCGTTCGAAGGCATCAATTTTTATTTGGTCTTCCTAATTCATTTGCCCACTTTCACATACTGATGAGGCAACTGAAAATGTGATGACGAGTCCGGTGCACCGTAGTTCTCAAAGCTACATATTTGATTCTTCACACTTCAAGGAAATCTTCGGCAGAGTCGTCTCATGCAATATTTCACTTGATTTCTTTTTTTTTTTTTTAACATTTTATTAGGGGCTCATACAACTGTTATCGCAATCCATACACACATCAATTGTGTAAAGCGCATTTGTACATCATTCTCAAAACATTTTCTCTCTACTTAAACCCCCGACATTAGGTTCTCATTTTCCCCATCCCTCCCCACTGCCCCCTCCCTCATGAGCCCTTGATAGTTTATAAACTGGTATTTTGTCACATCTTGCCCTGTCCGACGTCTCCCTTCACCCACTTTTCGGTTGTCTGTCCCCCAGGGAGGAGGTCACACACAGTTCCATGTAATCGGTTCCCTCTTTCCTACCCATTCTCCCTTTACCCTCCCTGCCTCGCCATTCACACTACTGGTCCTGTAGGGCTCATCCGCCCTGGATTCCCTGCATTTTCAGTTCCTATCTGTACCAGTGGTACATCCTCTGGTCGAATTCGAGTCATGGAAGTGGGAGCGGGGAGGAAGCATTTAGGAACTAGAGGACAGTTGTATTTCTCATGGTTGCTACATCGCACCCTGATTGGCTCATCTCCTCCCCGAGACCCCTCTGCAAGGGGATCTCCAGTGGCCTACTAATGGGCTTTGGATCTCCACTCCGCACTCCCCCCATCATTCACTGTGGTAAGATTTTTTTTTCTGATGATGCCTTATACCTGATCCCTTCGACACCTCGTGGTTGCATAGGCTGGTGTGCATTTAGACTGTGGATCCAAGTAAAATTGAATGCTTGACAACTTCAATCTTTTCTCTGTTCATTAGGATGTTGTTTATTTTTCAAGCGGTAATGATTTTGATTTTCTTTCTACTGAAGTATAATCCTAACAAAGTTATAAATTTTGATGTATATAAATAAGTGCTTCAAGTCCTATTCAATTTGAGCTGGCAACATTGTGTCATCTGCATCATTTCAGCACCCAAATGGGGCAGGCTGTTGATGAGATTTCCTTCGAATCCTGATGTCGTTCAGCTTCAGATTATTTGTTCAGTGTGCATACTGAGTCAGCATAGTGAAGGAAATAATCCATACACAACCGTTTCCTAACTGTAAACAATGAAGCATCCTCTTGTTGCTTGGATGAATGCCTCTGGGTCTGTGTACAAGTTCCTCATGAACACAATTACGTGTTCTGAAACTCCTTTTATTCACAATTCCATAGGTAATTTGTTATCACACATGCAGCTGAATACCTTTAAGATAGTCGAGGAAACACAGGAATACATATTTATTCTCTTTCAACCAAGATCCACCTAGCATCATCAAAGACATCCCTAGTTCTAGACCCTCTTCTAAATCAGGCGTGATTTCTGGCAGTTCCTTGTTGATTTACTGCTGAAATAGTATATCAAGTTATTTTTATTTATGTGACATATTAATGATATTTTTCAATAATTTCTGCATTCTGTCGGGTCACCTAAGAGCCTGATGGCATGCTGGACTGTGGGAGTGGAGTTGGTCTGTTTACTGCAAGGTCAACAGTTCAAACCCACCAGCTGCTCCAAGGGAAATAGATGAGGCTCCCGCCACTGTAGATATTTACAGACTTTGGCACCCAAATGGGGCAGTTCTAATTTGCTCTCTAGGGTCGCTACAGTCAGAACTGACTTGATGGCTGCCATAAGTTTCCATGGATCATCTTTCCTTGGAAGGATGAAAAATTGGATCTCTTCCAGCCAGTGGGGTAGGTATCTGTCTAGAAATTTCTTGGCACAGATGAACAAGCACCTCTCGCACTGCATTTGTTGAAACCTTTCTAAGGATATTTCATCAATTCCTGGAGCCTTGTTTTTCCCCACAGCTTTCAATAGTTTGGATTTATCTCTTCAATACTATTAGTTCTTAATCATTTACTACCTTGTGAAATGGTTGAGTGTCAAACCAATTATTTTTGGTAACCAAAAACCAAACTCAATGAGACTGTCCATGCTGAGTCATAGCTACCCCGAGGGTTTCTGAGACTGTAACTGTTTACGGGAGTAAAAAGCCGTCTTTCTCCCACAGAGCTGCTGGTGATGTTGAACTGCTGACCATGCGACTCACAGCCCAACAGGTAACCACGACACCTTCAAAATTCCTCCATTTTTGGTAAAGTGACTCTGTATTTTGCAATCTTCTTTTAATGCCACAAAATCCTTCAATATTGAAACTCAATGTTTGAATTTTCTCTTCAGTACTTTCAGTTTGAAATATGTTGAATGTGTTGATGCATTTTGGCTAGGCCTTTATAGGTTTTATTATTATATTTTACTTTGTCTTCTCAAGCTACCCTTTGTAATCTTCGAACATTCAGTTATTTTACTTTATCGCTTCTTCCATAGTTTTAGTTGCTACACATTCAAAAGCAAGTTTCAGAGTCTCTTCTGATATACATTTTAGGCTTTCTTTCTTGTCTTTTTGGGGTTTTTTGGTCATATATTTTTTAATGATTTTATTGGGGGCTCATAAAACTCTTATCACAATACATATATACATCAATTTTTTAAAATCATTTTATTAGGGACTCATACAACTCTTATCACAATCCATACATATATCAATTGTGTACACATTTGTACATTCATTGCCCTCATCAT